AAACATTTTCTAATTAATAGTTATACAAAATTTAACTTTTGTAAATATTATAATATAAATAAATCATTAATATTTTATTTTGTTTAATCAAAGTAAATGGTATTTTACCAAATCAATTTTTAAAGAATTATGCAATAGTATATTTTTTTTTTTAATATTTTTTATTACTTAAAATAGTTGAAATTTTAAAGTACAGTTATGGGTAATTGAATGATAAAAATAAATAAATTATTGAGTAATTAAATTAAGGCCGTTAAATAAATAACATTTTTCTATACTCAAAAGGAATTATTTTTATTGCATGTGTATTGAATTATACTTACATACTTCATTATTGGAATGGTTAAAAAAAATGAAATTTGATTTGTTATTTAAAAGTATACATAAGTAAATCCCAAAGTTCTATACAACAACATACATGAAAAATTGAGAATATATTGTGTTGGTTCAAAATAAGAATCGAAAGTCGATTGTTGAAAACATATTAAACTTATTTGTTAGCATATATAATATCTTGTATATAAAAGCTGAAATATACTGGATAAAACTACCAAATATTTTGTGAACGCACATTTCCTCACCAAGAAAACATTTTTTTCTTAAATTATATTTTTGATACAGTATTAACTCCAATATGGCGTAAAATAAATAAACACAATTCAAGTTATTTTACTTGCCATTTAAATTCTAAAAACATGTTTGTATTTCGTTTTATTTATTCTGTTATGTGACAACGAAAGAACAATAAATTGGTCTTATGGGCTGATATATCGGTACTGTTATTTGACCAGTTTATTTGAAGATTTAATTAAAAAATATAGTTTAATTATTTGTTATAGATAACGCATTTTTTTTTTTATCTTATTTTTATTCCTGAGCTATTACAGGCCTTTAAGGCCCATCGCCGCAACAACATATTGTTTCCATGCTTCTATATCATTTGCACGTTCTTCTGCGTTTCTTACGTTCAGGAGTTTCAGGTCTTCTTGTACTCTATCCACCCATCTTTGTCTGGGGCGTCCTCGAGGCCTATTTTTTTATTTTTTTTTTTATATATATACTCGTAAATAAATTATATTATATGTTGTATTCTCCAAATTCTTATATTTATTGGAAAACTATTTTTGTACATACTGATTGTATTCTATGGTAACGTTAATGTTAAGATGATAAATGTTAAAAACTTATTAATTTTAAAATTTACAAAATTTGAATGGGAATAACCTTAATTATACATTTAATATGAATATAATAGTAAATAAAAACAAAATTAGGCTTCAAGTCAAATTATTTTTTTTTTCAATCTATTGTATCCGATCAAATAAAATCTATGACAGTTGATTGATTCAAACGTTACACCATACACATCATACCGCACTAAATCAAATTAGAAAAAAAGAATTAACTTATCAACAAATATCTGTTTAAAAATATTTTTATTTTATAAAATATGACAAATATTCATAAATGGTTTCGATGTTTCATATGCTGTACATTAATTATAAATAGTCTTCGTACTCAGTGAGCATTCAAATATTCAAGAATATAGGGTAAAATAAATAAATATTGTTTAAGGCATAAGTGAATCGTCAAATATAATTATAATATTGTTCTCTCTATTATTATTTCCCATACTTTGTTGAAGGATTTTCCAGTACATTAAAATAAAATGTATACAAATAATGCTATAATTTTTTGAGATATTCCCATAAATCAATGTTAGCAACTATGAGATATTTTTATTAAGCGAATATTTTAGGAATATATAAGAAGTATGTATTCTTTTTCTACAACAGAAATACAGTTGTATTCCAAAATTCCGGAAAACGTAAGCAAAGACAAACGGTGCGCTTTTTGCGAAACAAGAAAATTAATATGAATAAATCATGGTCATTATGATGTACAGTGATCAAGTATAATCGTATGTTCAATATTTTTGTAATAGAAGATTTTACATATGGTGATAATTTTGTGTTTAAAAAAAAGAACGTGGTTTGTTGAATTTATAATTCATTCGACATGTCCGTGAATCAAAATGGTTGAAGGTTAATAATTACATAATATAACAATACTAGGGGGTTGACAATTGAAATATTTATTGGTTTTATTTAATTGTTAGTGAATAAAGTTAATTTCTGTAATTATTGTCATAATTATTTTATTAATTGTTGCACCTTTGGTTTTTTTGGTTACTTGAAAGAAGCTTTGTCAAACATAATCTTGTTACCCCGTGAATGATTAATCAAAGATACAATTTTATGTTTGTCATTTTTTTTCGAGCCAATCAGGTTTTATTAATATTAGAAATATTAAAAGGAGATTACATAGTAATTTTTTATAAGTATGCATATTATACGAGTATATAAAATATAATTACAGTAGGTAAAAATGGTGGTTCAGTAAATATGATAGTACCATAGAATATTTGTTTGATTTTATACATTTTAGCGAGTAATTTTAATATCATTTATAAACGTATAAACATTTAATAAGGTCAAATCTTACCCGTATATATAATATTAATATTTTTTAGTATTTATTAATATTATGAAACACTGGTATTAAACCTTTCTTAGTTATTTTTATTTAAAAAAAAACATATTTTATGATTACTTTTGTAAATTTAATTTACAATGTCCATAACGTTGTTAACATGTTATCATGTATGTTCAAATAATTTAAACGCTTAATATAATGTTTTAAGTTTGATAAAAATGAGAAAGAAAATTTTTTTCACTTAAACTATATTACAAATAATAACCTTAAAATTTTAAAATGTACCGAAAATGTAGTGCAAGAGGAATTTTCAGATTTGGCGAGAATGAAAAACGAAACTATTGGTAGTTTTAAACGATTTTAATGAGCAATGAACTTTGTTAAAATGGTAGTTGAAGGTTCAACATTTCAACATATTCTTACAAGCCAAAGATTTTTGATAAAAGTTATTATTTTATTTATTATTTATATTGTTATTACAGTCAAAATTATTATTGAATAAAAATTATGCATTGATAATAGTGTAAAGAAGTTCGTGTTGTTTTTTTTTAAAACGAGTTTATACACTTTATTTAGTTGAAAAAATATTTATAGATACTTATTATTACCGTATTTTAATATTATACAATGTTGGTGATCAAGATGGTAATTTTAATTATAATCTGTAAGTACAATTATATGATTTATTAAAATGATTTTATTCTTTATTTTTACTTAGATATAATTATTTAACTTGTTTGTCTGATTTTGAAAGGTGTTATAAATTAATTGTACTTAAGATATGCATATGGGTATAATAAGTATAACTATAAATGTAATAATGTGCTATGTTAGTAGTATATGTAAAAATGTACTATGTTATAGAAATGTAAAGCTTATATTGATACCTGATATTGGAACTCACAATCGTATATTTTCGAGTCTTAGACTACTAACGTTTGATTCCATTTCAAAAAAATAAAAAAATAAAAATGTTAGGTGGGATGGATATAAGAGTGGTGTTTCAAGCATAATACTAATATTTTATACATATGCGTACATATAAATGTACAATGCTATATAGGAAAAAGGTATTTTGATTATGCTAATAATTTATATGAATCTACAGATAAGGTTTCACTAACTTGTATTTATTGTATGCATAAGAAACTCTTTCCATTTTGATGATCATTCCATTTACATTTAAATATTCTTGAGCGTGCGGTTCGTTACGCATTATTATTATGATATTATACGATACTCAGTACGTAAGAACATATTTTATTTTTTCTTACCTAGTTGTGTTGTACGCTTGTCGTTTTTATTTATTTATTCATTTAATGCAAAATATCTCATAGTTCACACTTTTATAGTTTTTAAAAATTTGGTAATAAGTTTGATGGATCCTTTTTAAAAAACGAAAAAGTAATTTTATAAAAAAAAAAAAAACTGTCTAAATTTTAAAATTCTTTAATTGATCTACAGACATTTTTATCGTAGAATATGAGTCACATTTAAAAAATTGATTAATGAGTGTAAAGAAATGTTGCAGTAATGATGTAAAATCTGTTCAGTTATTTCTATTAGAGCTCAATAGAAAATTACTTTTCAATTAATCATGGTAGTGGATACCCAAATAACTATCAAATTCCAAATTTTCCTTGTAATGATGAATGTATAAGCTAGTCACTAATATCCCATTTGTCTTTCCCAACTTTTGAACAGGAGAGTACCTTTGCCAAATAACAGGTATACTCTGCAATTTTTATATTATGATATAATATATTAAGATTATTATTTTGAAAACAATGAACTATATTGAAAAAATATTTAATTGATTTTAATTGCAATTGAAGATTGGCGTAAAATAAAATGGTAGATACATTACTTAGTAGTACCAAGCAACAAACAATGTAGTGAAGTTTGATAAAATAAATTAACAAAATAATTTTTGAAAATATTATTAACAATATAATATTGAAATATATAAAGTTAAGTTTTCTTTTAGCTCTAAAGTCTAATATATTTTAGATGTTACGTTATATTAATATTATATTACATTATAAAGTAAATTTTATAAGATGATAAAGAATTTTAATCAGGTAAAATTAATTTATATGAACAATGGTAAACCTTAATAATATATATGTGGATATGATTCGTAACAGACAAAGAACAGTTCATATACTTTTCTAGGTATTAATATTAACTTTAAAATTCAACCATCTCATTTAATATTAAATATCTATAGTATAAGAATAAATATATGTTTTATTGTATAAAAAAATATTATCAAATAAGTGCTTTTATAAATGTTATAATCTCTAAATAAATCAAATATATTTTAACTTATGTCTTATGAAAAAAACAAAAAATCATGAAAGTGGAGGCAGAAAATTGATAAAGTAAAATTTATTCCGCACTTGTATAAAATATCACAAATATAATTCAGCTCTAAGCATAAATTACATCCATATCGATATAATTATACATTCGTTTGTTTTTAAATGTGATAATTTTTAAAGGTCTCTTGGGTACGACGAAGAGATTGGCACATTTTGAGCTCTGGAGTGTTGACATACATAAACGATGGCCGATTTCGAGTATTTCATTCAGAGAAAAGCGATGACTGGGATTTAAGAATATCACCAGTTGCAAAGATAGACAACGGCACTTACGAATGTCAGGTAATGTATTATATTGTATTGGAAATTTGATATTTTTAAACGAACTAAAATTCAAAAATAATAATCATACTAACTTCAACACTGTTGCTTTATAATATATACAACCAATAGTTGTGCATGTTAAACACATATTCGTAAACCACACGTTATCTTAGAACTCAAACCAAATCATTACTTTTAGTACAAAACTTTGTGATTTTATGTCATAGTATTTATTCAGTTTAAAACTCCAATCATTCTAACTAAATGTATTAGTTGCAATACGTCCAACGTAATCCTCGAAATAATTATTTATCATATTTCAATTCAAATTCAACAAAAACAACCAAACTCAGATTAAAAGGATTAAAAGAAGAGTAATAGTCATCACGCTATTTGATATGACATTTTTAGGTGTCTTGGAATTTTGACCGAAGATTTATTATATTCGTATATTTAAATAGTAGGTAATATAATTATTTATCAAAAACAAATATACTTATATGAAGTTTGAAAAATAATCAATAATTATTTCACGAATTTAATCGTATAACATCGGATAGGAAATCAGTGTAAATATTTAAGCAAATTGTATTTATTATTTCTCATCAAAATAGAACGAATAGGATTTTAATGTTGAATTCAGTTAATAACATATTTAGTAAAGGTTATGATGTCAGATTTCAAATCTTATACAAGAGACAATTCTTAAAATAATGTTCTTTTAACTTATATTTTAAGTGAATTATTTATTTATCTACTAAGATATTTTTAATTAAAAATTATAGTAGATGATTGTCTTAGGTATACCAATTCAGAGACATTGAATTATAGTTTTAATTTTTTTGTTTTAAGTTATTCCATGTATAGCAATGCATGTAAACAACAATGGAATAGTTTCATAATGTATTTTACTTTTGTTGAGAATCATATTAATTGGATGAACTTGATTTATGTTACTCAGTTGTAATTAAATCAATTTTGTGGTTTTTTCTTTATATATATAATGGATTTTAAAATTGTAAATATATTCATTTTTATCGATTACATTATTTTTTTAAATGTAAATAAAACTTTTGAAAATAAAATTAATTGTATTTCATGATTACATTATTTTTTTCCAATAATTTTTGTAGACTGAAAATTCTATATATGTAATCACTTTTCTAATAAATGTATTATAAATAATTTAGTATAAGCTTTGAAAATTAATTATTGATACACGAAAAAAATAACATAAAACTAACGTTTTTAAAAATTGAATCGGTAAGTTTTACACATTTAGTGATTTTACTTTGTTTATTCATTGTTGTTAACGCTTATGTTCACCATTATTTGTAAATTGTAATAAGTATGAGGACCATTTAACGATGTTACGATGTTCTTACTTGTAAATTACAAAAAAAATTGAATTTTTTATATTTATTTTACTACATATTTTACCTAGATTAACAAAATATTGCGTTATCACAAATATTTTTCAGAGAAAAAAAATAAAAAAAAAACAACATTAAATCCAAGTGCGTTTTTGGTTTGTTCAGGATCCAAAATTTTTATCTGAAAAGGAATGTAAATGCACATTTTAAGTAATATATAAAAAATATAATAAAAAAGATCCATGTCAAATTTGTATTATGCTGATCCGTTTCAAGACTGCAAACTCAATTATCGTATTAAACTAAATTTTTTATAGTATTTATCAGAGTGAATTGGACGAAGTACTAGACTTTTTGACTTTAAATAATACAAATGTATCAATTAAGCTTATTTTGAATTTAATTTAACCAAATTTAATTTGAATAATATATACGTTTTCGTTTTGTAAAATTATTATTTGATACATTGTTTAAACATAAATTTACTGATATGAATAAAATAAACAAAATAAAAGTAAAAATTGAGATATTATTAAAATGTTTAAGGAAGTATTATTATTTATGAAGGTTAAGAATCAGATAGTTTATGAACCTTAAATAACTTTTCGATATATTTATAATATATTGAATTAAAAACAAAAATTCCACAGTTCCTTTTTTTAAATTATTATTATGACGATGTATTTAAATTTATTTATTGCCATTTATTTAACTGAAATGTATTTTGATTAAACATTTATAAATATACTTAAAATATGAAATAATTTTAGTTTTATTTTTTTATTTTTATTGAGTCTATTGTTAGAATGTTAATCATAATCGGATCCTTGCTCTTACCATTAAAATAAGTGATAGCGTAGACAAATATAAAGAATTTTGTGTCCACAAATATTTGAATTTTAAATCTTGGTAAAACTCGTCACATAAATCACTAAAAATTGTTCAACTTTTTAGTATTTAAAAATTCATCTGCCTTTCATTTTTAATTATTTATACTTGACCATTTTATAAATGATTCTTTAAAAGTTCAACTTTTTATTACAAAAAAAAAAAAAAAAAGTTACCGGAATATCACAAATAGTCTTTATAAAAAAAACGATATTATAAAAACGTATAAAAATTGAACGTAAACTTTATCGAATATTTCAACGAATTTTGATCAAATGTTTTATTTTATTTTTAATCGGCTGGTGTATTAGAACCATATTTCATAATATCTACTTCCGATCCCTGTTTTCAATTGAAATCTTGCTCTCTTTTTAACTTAATCATGTATTTTAAAAGACGCAGGCACAGATGTAAGGAGTAGTATAGGAGCGATAGTTTTCCCAAATATCACGAAAGAAAACGAAAAAAAAAATTTTAATATGATATGTCAATCAAGAATAAAAATTATATTTCTTCTATAACAACTATGTATTGACATGTTTTCAAAAACCAAAAAAAAATTTGATTTCGCTCTATAATTTTTAATTTAATATTTCGTATTTAATATTTTTTTTTATTGTTCTTAAATAAAAAGTTATCTTTTTAATGTAACTATCAATTTTTTTTTTTTTTACAGTGTCAAAAAATATTTATGGTAAACGGTTATACTTATAATATCATATAGTTAATTATTATCGAATTTTATATATTATATTATGTTCACAATATACAATGCCTCACCCCTTAATAATTACTCTGGATCCTTGCCTGAATATATGCAATCTATTTTATATAGCAGTTTAAAATATCAGTATCATAACTAAATTTAGGTAACAATACAATCAATATTAAAAATATATTTTAACGGTAGTTTTGAATGAACCATAATCGACTAAAAAAAATGTAATAAAATATTTTTTGTTCCAAAATAAGTCGGCATTGCACTCATAACTCATGTGTATACTTAGATTTCTATTATATTTATAACGTACTCAAAGTCAATGTGAAGTACAATAGAATAAGAGAAATAATTGAATATTATTAAGAACAGACACAACCTTTATCTCAATTTATGCTAACGAAATTAATCTAAAATATAAATTCAAATGTAAATATAGATGTATTCAAAAATTATTTTAAATACTAACTTGATTTTGATAGAACTTTTAGCTCAGCAATATACAACAGAGGTAAGTTGTTATTATGAATCGACCTAAACAGAGTACGACAAGTCGGGAACACAGAACACTGAGTTCTATAATAAATCAAGCCTTATTCTCTTATGTATAACTCTCCATCAGTTTATTATACTATATGGTTATAAGCGTACGCGTGTGGATTACTCACTGTACAGTGCACTCCTCATGAGAAGCTATATGTTGATACATTGTATTATTTATTTATTTTTTAATAATATTATCAAAAAAAAAAAAAAAAGTAACGTTATAAAATAGTCCTAATTTATCAGTCATATTAAACGTATTATATTATATTATGATTAAAAGTATAATGAACTAAATTGTAATAATAATGATTTTTTTTTTTCTATTTTAAAATTTGCGTACTTAAAGTTTCATGAAAAAATAGTTTGAATAATATTTAATAAAATGTAATATATTACAAACCTAAATTTATAAGAACATTAACACTAATGGAAAAAATAGATGCCTTGACTATTAAGATATACATTAGAATCATTTAAAATGTCGGATAAAAAAATTATGATGAAGCAAATATGTGACATAATTAATATGTAAAAAAAAAAAAACGTATAGAAAAATACATATTGGTAATAAAATTAGTAACGTAAATTCTAATAAAAACAACAAAGTATAAATATATAACAAATCGTTAAAAGGATTATCGGTTTATTCTTAAAATAATTAATGTGAATATGCAATAAACTTAATTACATCGATTAATTAAGTAACCTTGAATGAGGTTTCATCTTAACAAATTACAGAAATGATTATATTAATTTTCAATTTAATTTCATCTTTATAGTTTCTGAAATATATCACCAGTTAAGTTCCTTCTAAAAATAATTAAATTTGAAGATTCTTACAAAGAAATAAAAACGTATAATATTTCATTTCAGTGAATTGAAGGTATAATTTACATATAAAGAACGGTTATGATATAAAGTAAGAATTGAAAAGATGATTTAAATGTTGAAGTCTTGAAATTGTATAAATTTAAATATCATACAGTCATATTATGTCACACTATATAATTATTATAATAATTACATCAATCTCTGATGATGAAATAATTAGATTACAATTCTATGACGACTTGAGAAATGAAACTTTTTCCGTCTTATAATCGTATGTTATATTTGATTTTAGATTCTGAATAAAATGAGAAATGCGTTAGTTTTACACCGTGTTTTTTTTTTTTTTTTTTATGACCACACTAATTTGACTAGAAAGGTTGCTCCAATCATCACTAGATAAAAAGTGAAAGATGGGAAATAGATTCTAATTGTTACCCCCAGGGAGGTAATTTTATGAATTTTCCAGCAGTTTTCTTAATAATTACATAAAACTGAAAAAAAAAAATAATATAATAAAAAAGTACTGCCAGATTTATAGTAGTGAATTCCAGTATTCAAAAAAATCGAATTTTTGTTTTTCTCCCAACTCAAAAAATTATTATCCTTGATACTTGAAAATTTTTCTGAACACATAAATCTATTTTTTTAAGATGGGATGATTT